CCTAGGTTTACACAATGAAGATGGGATTGGGGAGTTGCCAAGGAGGCTCAAGCTCTCCTAGGGCTCCACCCTCCCCCATCACACTTTCCTCCTTAGCAGCTGGTCTCACCCCAGGAGCTTCCTTTGAGCCCCTGAAGGACTTCAAAGGGAGTTGTGCGTTTCAAGGAGGAAAAGGTGGGAAAGAAGCTGCTCCTAGAGCTGCCCATGCTACACAAGTCAGCTGGATGCTCGCCATGCACCCTGGCAAGTATGCCTGGCCCACAAAGGACTCCTGGGAGAGCCCACTCTTGACTCAGCCACCAAGAGAAAAAAATTCCCCTTTCCCCCATGCCCAAAGTAGGCACATTTTGCTGGAGGGGTAAGTTCCATTCCTCCAGTTTTTTATTCCCAAGTTCAGGCATCTTCTCAGGGTAGGAGGGCTGACAGGGCCTCCCTATAGTAAATTTGCCTTGGGAGGGAGCTTTGTCTTGAAAAGCTGACAGAAGAGCTGAAGACATAAAGTGAAAAACTGCCCAGCACTACAGTATAGTGGCCAGGCTGTGTGGGTGCTGGCTGGGCAGAGGACATTCTAGGACAACCTCACTATCCAGACTGTGTGACAGGCAGTGAGTGGGAGGGGCCCCAAAGGTCACTTGGGAAAGTCATTTGGACCTGGTGAAGTATAAGGACTTAGTTCTCTGGGCTTTCCTGACAGCATCCTGCTTGGGTTGCAAGGGGGCTACACAAGACAACAGGAGGAGAGTACAGACATCTGGATGGACAGTAAGTGCTCTCTGAGAGTGGCCACCTTGCTGTTGCTGGGAGAAATCTGGAGCCTTCCCCTGCCTGGGACACATGTTCCCCAGAGCCACAGTACTGCCCAGAAAGCAAAGGCTCACAGGTAGCAGCAAGTCCCCAGCTGAAATCTACTGTGCTCCTGGGCAGAGAGAGAAGGAATGAGGCACTGGCTCTACTTTGATCTGACTTTACTTTTCAAGGTTTCTTATTCTCTTTTCTGATACTGGGGGTTGAACCCAGGGCCTCGGGCATGCTCGGGAAGTTCTCAGCCGTGGAGCTAGATCCCCATCAAAATTTATGATCTTCCAGCCTCACACTCCTGAGTTGATTCAGAGATTTTAGAGATGAAAAGACCCTGTTAGAATGAAAATGACTGAAAAAAATAAAAAAGAATGAAAATGACTGGCAAACCAGGAAACACTGAGGCTCTTATTCATTGTCAGCTTGAAATGAGAACTGGCTCCACTTTGGTGGATGAAGGGGAACCACTTGCCTCACTTATGACCCAGACAGTCCCTCCTAGATCAGCATGCTCCAAGGAGGCATAACCTCAGGAACGCATCCATGCACTCACCAAAGGATGTGTTCTGTAATGTTCCAGGATGTACAGCAGTGCTTTTCATAATAACCCAAACTGGAAACTATACTCCATCAACAGCACAGTGGATAAACTGGTGGTCATCACTCAATGGAATGATACACAATAACGACAATGAACAATCTACAACCACGTGCAACAAACAAGAGCAAACCTCTTAAACACAAGAGGGAGTGAAAGGAACAAAATACAAAAGGGAATGTAACATGATTTCAATTACATACAGTCAATAACAAGCAAAAACCAATCTATGTCAGGACAGGAGTCACTCTAGGAAAAGGCTTGTGAAATGTGGGCTACACAAAAGATATCAGCTGGTGGGGGCTGGGGATTTAGCTCAGCGGCATAAGTGCCTGCCTTGCAAGCGGGCAGTCGTGAGTTTGATGCCCAGTACTGATAAAAAGGAAAAAGACAAAAAAAAAAGATATCAGCTGGTGAAAAATCATTGACACCACAATATGAGCACTTTTTATATGTATAATTTACTCTAATATACAAGTTATTTTTAGGTGGGTATGGTGGTGTATACCTGTAATCCCAGCACTGAGAAAGCCTGAGAGGATGGCTTGTCCCCTAGCTCTTCATTCAAGACTCCAAAATAACGCGTCTGTTCTAGAGTCTTCCTGCAAACATGGTAGTAGGAATATATGCTTACATTTCTGCCTTTTCTCCCCAAAAGATGGTGCCTAGTGCATGTTTTCTATCTTTACTAGCAATATATTACAGGGAGGCATGCTCATTTCTTACACTACATGGTATTCCACTTGCACAGGAATGACCAACCTTTAGATGTTGGACACATCTGGTTTGCTTGGGCTGCATATAAAATATATAATGTATATAAGTAACAAAATTAAAAATTGTTTTTTACTACATAGGCGTGTGCAACCCACAGGCTGAAGATTGGACAGTTCTGGTAAACATAGGCATAATAATGTTTCCCGGGGCTGGGGATTTAGCTCAGCGGCGTAAACACCTGCCTTGCAAGCAGGCAGTCGTGAGTTCGATCCCCGGGACCGATAAAAATGAAAAAGACAAAGAAAAATAATAATAATAATAATGTTTCCCTATAGTTCTTTGTTATTTCAAAAGGCATTGTCGGGGCTGGAGATTTAGCTCAGTGGCATAAGCACCTGCCTTGCAAGTGTGCAGTCGTGAGTTCGATCCCTGGTACTGATAAAAATGAAAAAGGAACAAAACAAAACAAAACAAAACAAAACAAAAAGGCACTGTCAAGGCCAGTGAGGTCATGAGTTTGATCCCCGGCACCAAAAAAAAAAAAAAAAAAAAAGAAAGAAAGAAAGCACTGTCACGAATGACCTTATATTTAGGTCATTTCTCCTGTATGAGGCAAGACAAATTCCTAGAAGTGGAGGTCCTGCTAGAGAATGCCAACTATATCTTCCACAAGCAATAGATAACAGGGTCTGCTTCCTCAAATTTTCACCAAGAGAACTTAAATTCTTAGATTTATGTCAATTTTGTCAAATTGATGGAAAATGACCTCTTGGTATAGTTTTAATTTGCATTTGTCTTATTGAGTCAGGTCAACCATCTTTCATACACTGGTGGGGTCACTCATGTTCCCTTTCGTTGAGCTGCATGTGTCCATTGTCTATATTTCCACCGGACTGCTGAACTTTGGTTGCCGATTTCTAGATTTTAGGCGCAGATACAATCTCTTACTTCAAGATTACAAAATCTGGCATGGTGGAGAGCACACCTATAATCCCAGTACTTAAAAGGGTGATGCAAGAGGATTGCAGTGAGTTCAAGTCCAGCCCGAACTAAATAATGATAGTTCGTCTCAAAACAAAAACAAATCTCCAAATTTACAAAGGAAATCTTGCTTTCACTGCACTTAGGTTTTCACTTCTTACATTTAAATTTCTTTCAAACATAAATAAACCATGTCACAAGTCTGCCTAAAATCTTCATGGCTTGCCTACCTTTCAAGATACGGCCAACACCATCCTTAGTCCCAAGTCCCCGCCTGCTATGACCACCCCACTATCACCACCACACAGGCCTGGCCCAGGACTCCTCAGCTCCAGGAGTACTATAAGCTTCCTGCCTTAGGCTTTGAAGTTGCTTCTTCCTCCTGTCAGAGGCACTTCCACCAACTCTTCTCTTTTCATTCAAAGTCCTCTCCTCAGAGATGTCTCCTTTTCCCTCTCCAGGCCATGTCACCCTCTCTCCCGCTGTACTCTCATTGTCCTGTCTTCATATCACTTATGCCAATCTGCAGAGACTTGGTCTACTTGTGTGCAGAACACTGTGCATCTCCTCTCCAGACATGACCTTCATGAGGCCCTAAGCACCCCATTATGGCATAGAGGTTGTGGCTTCCTCCTCCCCGATGTCACTGCACTCCAAAATGTAGCCCAGCCCCTTCTATCCCATTCTCACACGTGCCTCCCTGACAGTGTCTCACTTGTGGCTGAGTCAGCCTGAAGCTCTGAGGTTAGTGGAGGATCCTGGAGGGACTAAAACCTCTCACTGCTGCCAAGAGGCAGCTCCTAAGCCTGGGCTACCCTTCCCAGGCTGTCTTGGAGGCTAGGAATTGCCTGCCTTCCAAACCCCTCGCACTTCACTGTGCAGTAGTTTGGGTCCCTGCGGTTTCAGTAGCTCCTACACATACAGATGGGTAGGGTGGGGACTCTGAGAAAGGCTAAGAGCTCACTTACCTGCCATCCACCGGTCAATAAACTGAGTCGCAGTAACGCCAGACCCTAAACACTAAGTGCAACTAGCAAGCCTCAGCCCAGCGGTGCCAACCATGGTTCTGAAAGTGTCCTGCATGGGCAAAGCAGGGTGGGCCAGACACCCTTCTTCTCCCATGGATCAATGCAGCCCAACAGACTTGTATCCTGTGCCACCTATGTGATTTAGTTTCCAGTAAAAACGTCAAAAACTACAGGTGGAATTGAACACTTTATTGCACCTGCCTGGCAAGGGTGAGGTCATGAGTTTAATCCAAAAAAAAATATTATGATATGTTACGTGTATGTACCAACTCCACAGAGAAATGTAAGCACTGTGTATTGCAAACATAGTATAATACATATAATTTCAGCAGGATATCATGATTGTGCACACCTGATTGTGTGCACAGATATCATGATTGTGCACACAGCCCTGGGAGGCTGAGGCCAGAGGATTGAAAGTTCGACCCAGCCTGGCCAATTTAGCGATTTGGTGAGACCTTGTCTTAAACATAAAACATAAAAAAGGCATGGGGATGAGCAAAATTCAGTCCCCAGTTTGGGGAGAAAACATTCAACAGCAATCAACAACAATTTTAATGAGCTATTTTACACTTTTATCACTAAACTTGTAAAGTTGGTGTGTACTGTAAGTTACACACACGGCACATCTCAGCGTACATTAATAGCTGTAACTCAAGCGCTCTGCAGCCGGCAGCCGCGGGCACCAAAGCGGCAGCTCTGCTGGACAGCGCAGTTCAGCCAGTCTTCAGCAAGCCCCTCCGCCACAGCCCGACCCTCCAGAGACAAACGCGCGAGGCGGGGCCAGCGCGGAAGCCGCGCCCCTCGGCAGAGGCTGCCAATTGTCGGGGGCGCGGGGCTGAGCCGAGCGCCCACCCACCCGTTGACCACTCACTCACCTCGCCACCGCCTCCACTGAACCTGGGATGGGCACGCCGCCGCCCGCGCAGCTGTCCACAAGCACGCCGGAGATGTCCAGCAGCACTCCGCGCACGCCGGCCAACCGCTCACCCCACACGGCCATTGCGCCCCACCAAGTGCAACCTGTACCCGGCGTCCCAACCAGTTCGGAGCCCGCGGCCGCGCCTCCCGCGCAGGGACCCCTGGGAGCTGTAGTCCGGAAGGCGGGATGGGCGGGGCTGAAACCCGGAACCGCTCAAAGCGGGCGCTCGGTCCCGGAAGAAATGTTTCGGCGAATAACGCGGTTCTTCTCAGAAGGTTGGAAAGCGGCTAAGTAAACTCTCGAAAAGAGTTTACCTGCCTGAAAACCAGGACAGAGGCAAACTGAGACGAGAAGATATCCGTAGAAAGAACAAGAATCAAAGAGAACAGACTGTATCAGCGCTTCGCTGGTGTTCTCATTCTTCAGTAGCAGAGTGCTACACCACTGCTGGCGACCTAATGGTAGGAGCCATTGACGGGCAGTCCCACGCCTGGGAAGAAGCGCGTTAAGGAAATGAGTCCGAAAAACGGTTGTTGGAATGGTAAAGCAAATTAGAAGAAAAGTAAATGTGCAAGAAAGAGAACTGTTCAAGAAAGTATAACAGGGGTACTGAAAGGAGTGCAATATGGTAAAGAAAATAAAGACTACGTAACCTTTAGAAAATGCTCATGTTCTAACATTTGAAAGAGCAAAATCCAAGCTAGGTGTGGTGGTGCACGCCAGTAATCTCACCACTTTGAGAGACTCAGGAGGATTGGAAGTCTTGAGTCTTGCTGGGCAAATTAACGAGAATTGTGTCAAAATTTTAAAAAATAATAATAAAAAGTGTTGGGACATAACTCAATGCAAAGGCTCCAGATTAATTTAGTTTAATCTCCAGTACTGCTAAATAAAGAAAATGCAGACAGCTACGCTTGTAAAAATGAACAGCGGCATAAGCGCCTGCGTTGCAAGCGCATGGTCATGAGTTCGCTCCCCAGTATCAAAATAAATAAATAAATAAATAAAATAATAATAAGTATAAGAATAGGGCTTTAAAAGAACATGAAAGAAAAAGGGACTATTACAGTATATTAGGTCACAGAGATCTTTTAGATGAATTATAAAATTGCATTTAATGTTACTTTTTTGCAATAAAAACTAAATTTCCTTCACAGCTTGTCTGAACTGCTTAAGTTGAAACAGGAAAATGTAAATTCTGTTATGATTTGCCCTTGAGATTTCAGAGGAGAGGGACTGTTATTATTTCAGGCTCTTATTTCATAGAAAGGATGAATTAATCAGAATGTTAGCACTTTAACTTAGTTTAATGAATTGTGTGTATTTCTGTTGATAAACTTACTAGGGGAGCTGCTTACAAAAGAAAAATAAAATGTATTTCTTCCTTTAGAAGATTTACAATGCTAGGGAAGAGTATTATACTGTGTGTAAGGGTTCTTACAGTTGCAGACAGTAGAATCCACTCTGGATAGATTTGAAGAGACCAAGAAAGCTCCTTCCATCTGCTACTTCCCCTCCCCTTCTCCCTGCAAATCTAACTAAGTTAAGTTTTAACTTCCTAAAGGCCATAAAACAAAGGCCTGAGGTAATAGCTCCTGACAACCCGGGTCTTCTCTACCCGGTAGCCCCATCACAAATTGTGTTAATTGCATCAGATTGTATTAGATTGTACATTCTTCACAAAAATAGCTTCATTTATATCATAGTAATATCTGTAACTTGGCTTTACTGTAAATGTGTGTCTTCCTTTTCCTCTGGGCAAAAGATTGATATGTTAATCAATGCTCTCCTCTGTGAAGAATTGTAAATCCCTGGGGCCCTAACCTAATTGATATGCTAACCATTGTTGCCCTGTACAAATAGAATGGTTGTGGTGCTAAAGTAAGGTAATTAAGGTTGTTAATTGCTGTTAGACTTTTCTATTCAGGAGGCCTTGTGGTGTGAGTTTCAAAACTATGTGCAGCTCCACCCCCACAGGATCCAGTGTTTCTGGACCATTTCAGACAAACAGGCTGTTTTCCCAATCATGGGACAAAGGCCTGTTCCTAAAAAGTGCCACCCCTTCTTTCGATACGACCCCCTCGCCCCACAAAGAAACCCAATCCCTTAAGGACAGCTCACAGTCAGCCCTGCTCTAATCGCTATGATTGGCCTCTGTAACAACGCTTGCTTGCTTTGTGGTTTTAGGCCTTAAAAGACCTAGCCCTACCCGAGTACGGGGTTCTCTGTTCCCACCTGTTTAGAGGACCCCGTGCGCACAGAAAATAAAACCCCTTGTTCTTACATGAGAGCTGAGTCCTTGGAGTCTCCTTCGCAACACCGGTCTTACATTTGGAGGCCCCAGCGAGATAGACCTCCTCGCCGAAGGAGACTCCAACGGCCACTAAGCGCCTCTCTGGGGTAAGTACGGCCGATTCTTGTTTACTTTCATTTTGCGATCGATCGTTCATTTTCTCTTCCTTTTTTTACTGCCCTGGGCCGTTCTTGTCGTTCTTTTGGTCCTGAATTCAAGGGCAGTTTGTTTCTGTTGGGGGACGCCCCAAGGTTCCCTCGTGGAACATTCGACGGTGGTTCTGCACCAATTTGAGTAGGCAGGTCACTCCTGCTGAGCTGGGTAGGTCGCTCCTACTGCTCTGTGTAGTCATTTCATGGCTACTGTGCGGCGGGTTTCTTTGCCGATTTGTTTCCACCACCTAGTGGCATAGGTGTGTGTATGACGCCGGCTCGTAAATGGTATTCCTGAGTGTGGATCCCTTGTGTTTGTCTACGTGTCTCCTGTTCCTCGTGACTCTGTTTTCTTCCAGGATAATATGGGACAAACAACCTCAACCCCTCTCTCCCTTACCTTGGACCATTGGCCCGAGGTTCGGGAGCGAGCTCACAGTCTTTCTCTCCAGGTTAAGAAGGGCAAATGGCAGACCTTCTGTTCTTCAGAGTGGCCCACCTTTTCAGTCGGATGGCCTCCGGAAGGGACTTTCCACCTTCCCCTGATCCTGGCCGTAAAGGGCATGATTAGTGATGGTACAGCTGAGGGAGAAATACCCTCCCTATAGTATTGGCCATTTTCCTCCTTGGTTGCCTGTTTAAACTTGTTACTAACTTAGGGGCTGGTTGCCCATTTCTGTTGCAGGATCCATATGGCTTATTAGATTCAAGGTTCATAATAAGAAAAATTATTTCGGGGCTGGGGGTTTAGCTCAGCGGCATAAGCGCCTGCCTTGAAAGCAGGCAGTCGTGAGTTCGATCCCCGGTACCGGTAAAAAGGAAAAAGACCAAAAAAAAAAAAAAAAAAAAAAAGAAAAATTATTTCCTTTAGCTCACCAAACTGTGCAAGAATCTCCCTTTGTTTGTGTCTTTAATGTTGTGGTGCCTTGTTTAATATGTAAGACTTCAACTGATTGCTTGCAACCTTGGAATGCCTTTTAAAAGGAGTATTTTTTCTCTCTGGTTAAAATGTAAACATGTACACATATATATGTATATCTATGGTTATTAAGAATCATATCAACTTTATCAAGTAAAAACCAGGTGGTACTATATTTGAGCCAGTTAAAAGGTTACAGTTTTGTTTTTAAAATACAGCATTTTTATGTGGTAAAAGGACATAAAATAAGTATGTTTTAGACTACTAAAAGGTGACTTCAAGGGTTTTGTTAAGAGTTTTGATGTTGTCTGAGAAGTGAGAGAAAAGGTAATTGACTGGTAATAGTAAAAAGAGGGACAAAGAGAGTAGTCTTCAAGTAAAAATGTCTGGCTGTGCCAGAATGTGGAAAAAAAAAAAAAAGATAAACGCTTAACTTGGGAGGTATATTGTAAGTTGTAGAAGGCTCAAGAGGATGTGAATTTTATTTGTCTTGGTTTATAGTACTGCAAATAACAGGTTTGACAAGAAGTAAATGTGTTCAGAATTTGACAGTATTAGATCAGTTTTCCATAAGATTGTACTTTGCTGCAAAAATGTTTCCATTAAAATGAGATTATAGGTGATACTAGAAATAAAATACAAGTTCTTACATGTGCTGTGAACATCTGGGAGATTATACAGCACAATTTTGTTACCTATGAAAAAGCCCTTTTTTCAAAGAATATAATTTCAGTAAAATGATGGCCTGCCACGTGACAACCTTGGAAAAAAAGCGGTGTGCCATCCAGATGAATCTGGCTCTCTGATCCAAATGCCAAAACCATGTTCTCCTTTTGTGCCACCCCGATTGGACATCCAGAGGTAAGAAGGTTTCCCAATATCGCCAGGTGTTCTCTTTGTAACTCAGTCGGCCCCACATGTTAGACAAAAATTACAAAGGTTTGAGAGGTTTAAGGAAATGCCCCTCAGCCAGTTAATAGAGATAGCACAAAAAGGTCTTTGAGAACTAGAAAATTTACAAAAAGATAACCAAGGTGTTAGAATTGCTCTATGAGAGAAAAAAAAAAAAAAAAAAACAGACGAGAGTTTCTGGGGGTGGTTGGATACTGTAGGCTAAATTTTACTGAAAAGCTTGCCTCTATATGACTCCCATAAAGGAGAAACTCAAAATTCGCTGAACTGGACTGATGAAACAGGCCTTCCAGCAGCTCAAGCGGGCCTTGACAGAGGCCCCAGCCCGGGGACTCCCTGACGTTACCAAGCCTTTCACCTTGTTCATAGATAAACTCAGGGGCATTGCCAAAGGAGTCCTAACTCAGGACATTGGCCCTTGAAAGAGGCCTATAGCCTACCTCTCCAAAAGACTTGATCCAGACTTGATCCCACCTAAGAATACTAGCTACTGTGACAATGTTACTTTAGGAGGCGAAGAAACTCGCTTTGGGCAAGTGATTTCTGTGGTAACCTCTCACAGTTTAGAGACTCTTATCAAAACCCCTCCTGAAAAAAGGCTCTCGAACGCCAGAATTCTACTGTCAAGCCCTGCTTCTAGACCCAGAGTCAATGATATTCAAGACTCCTTCAGCTTTAAACCCAGCCACCCTTATGCCTGATGATGATCAGGAGGAACAAAGGACACCTCTCTCCATGAGTGTTCTGACATCCTTGAACTGCAGCAGAACCTATGGGGTTCTCCGTTCCCACCTGTTTGGAGGACCCCATGCGCACGGAAAATAAAACCCCTTGTTCTTACATGAGAGCTGAGTCCTTGGAGTCTCCTTCGCGACACCGGTCTTACAGATTGTTTTATTTACACATGGCATGAAGGAAGTCTAGACATCCAAGCTCGAATACTACACAGTTAGGAGCCATGCATTAATAAGAAATGCCTGTTTTCACTGCTGCATTGGAAATACTTCTCCATCACTTGACTGCAAGATACCAGAAGCCTACTAGTATAGCATGCAGCTTAGCTACAGCAAAAAAAAACAAAAACAAAAACAAAAAACACCAACAACAAAAAACACCACCAACAAAAAAACCCGATAAAAAGAAAACACCACCAAAAAAACCATACATTTCAATCCTGTCCCCTCTGAAGTGTCCTTTATCCTGTGACCAGCAACTCACATTCTCCATGTCTGGCTTGGTAGAATCTATTCCTTGGTAGAACAGGAATCTGAGAAATGCAGTTTTTAGCCTTACAGACTCTTAATACATAAGGTGAGTGAGTCAGTTTGCATAATCTGCCACAAACATCATGAAACATGCCTTGAGCCTCTGCTCTGTGCAGTGGGCTCTATGGGTGCAAAATGTTCTGAGTAATGTTTACCTTGAAAAGTCAAGATTGGGCAGAAGACAAGGTATATACCTTCAGGATTACTGTTTGGCATCAAATACCAGTGTGACACAGACAGAGCCCAGAAAATGTCCTCCGTGAGCCGTGGAGGGTATCAGTGGCTTCTGAGCAAATGGACAGTCTGAAATGGATCTTGAAAGAATGGTTGGGCTAGGGGCTGGGAATTTAGCTCAGTAGCATAAGCACCTGCCTTGCAAGCAGGCAGTCGTGAGTTCGATCCCCGGTACCGATAAAAAGGAAAAAGACCAAAGGAAAAAGACCAAAAAAAAAAAAAAAATGCTGCTCTCATCCTTAAATAAAAGGGACCAAGAGCCAAGAAAAGCAGGCAGCCTACAGAAGTTGGAAAAGACAGAAAATGTCTTGTTCTGAGCTTTTAGAGTACCACTCTGTAGACACCTTGGTTTTAAGACTTCTGACCTCTAGAACTCTGAAATAGTAAATTGTCATTTGGAATCACTGAATTTGTGGTACTATATTTATTATGGCAGTGAGAGGAATGGAATACAGGAACTCAAGTCCCTCACCTAAAAAGTTGTGTGTTGACTGTTTTTTGTTTTTTTTGTTTGTTTTTTTTAGAAGACACACTCTCACTATGTAGTTTAAATGGGCCTGAACTCACTATGTGCCCCAGGCTGACCTCAAACTCCCAGCAATCCTCCTGCCTCAGCCTCCAGAGTGCTATAATTTCAGGTGTGTGCCACCACACCTAGCTCTACATGTTGATTCTTAAGTGTAGTCCAGGGACAGAGACCTTGATCCCCCCAAATCCAAGACTTTCCTTTGGATACTATAGGCAAAGAGCATTGTATAAGGGTCACATTTAGCTACGTATAATAAATGAAAGAAAAAAAATAGTTACTCAACCAAATAGGGTTATTTTCCCTCATATGTTATCAAGCCAAAAGAAAAGAATCCTGAGTGAGAGGGGCTGGGGATTTAGCTCAGCAGCATAAGTACTTGCCTTGCAAGCAGGCAGTCGTGAGTTTGATCCCCGGTACCGATAAAAATGAAAAAGACAAAAAAATAAAATAAATAAATAATAATAATAAAAGAATCCTGAGTGAGTACAGTGGCTCCCAGAACCAGTTGGAAATAGTCTCCTTTGTTCTTTTTGTTCCAAACCCTCAATATGACTCTCATCCTCTTAAGGTGCCTCTTCTGTATTTCAGAAAAGTGGAGGTTGAGGAAGAAAACAAAAGCTTCCCCAGTCTATGAAAGGCTGAGGTAGAAGAATCACAATTTGGAACCAAGCCTCAGCAACTTAGCAACTTAGTGAGACCATCTCTGGGATAGTGATTATTATATATCTGGGAGTAGTTTTATTTTGGTTATGACTACTTGGGGTTCTATAAGCTTCACTAATCTGTATGTCAGTTTCCATTCCCATGTTTGGGAACTTTTCAGCTACTACTACTGTAAATAGCCTCTTGATATCATTTGTGTTGTCCCCTTCTTTTTCATTTATCCCTATCAATCTTACATTGTTTTTCTTTGCATCATCTTGCAGCTGTTGAATTGTTATTTCCTGATTCCTTGTTATTTTTAAAAGATCTTTCCTTTCCTGTTCACTAGCTGCAATCTTGTCTTTGAGAGACCCTGTCTCAAAGTGTAAAAAAATGGCTGTGGATGTAGGTCAGTACAAAAGTGCTGGGCTCAATTCTCAGAATGAAAGAAAAAGAGAAAAAGTGGAATGGAGAGGGAAAAGAAAGAAAGACCAGTACCTCAGTATTAAGGCCCTGGGTTCAAAGTGGAAGAAAAAACAAAACAAAGCTTCCCCCAGAATCTTAATCTGAAGGGTTCATCTTTGCATCTTTTGGTCTAGATCTCACCCAGTGACACATGTGTGCAGGGACATACACTGTACCAACAGATACTTGGACATGTTAATTTTCCAATGACAAATTACCAATATCAGTCTAAATTTCAGTTCAAATATAAATTCAATTCTTGATTGCCATAACAGGTATGCATAGTCTGCTTTCAGATTTATTTGTATTAGTTGGGACTTTTGTTGCCAGAACCAGGTTTAAATTTAAATTTAAGGGGCTGGGGATTTAGCTCAGTGGCATAAGCGCCTGCCTTGCAAGTGTGTGGTCGTGAGTTTGATCCCTGGTACCGGTAAAAATACAAAAATACAAAAAAAAAATTATCCATAAATTTAAAGGGATTTAAATTTAAAGGGAATCTCTTGGCTCATACCATCAGATAGTGTAACAGTTGATAGTTTCAGGTATGGCTAATTACTAGCTGTAGCTCAAGTAAATCACTGAATGAAGAACCTTTTCCTCAACTTGGTCTAACAGTTCCAGAAAGAACTGATTGGATCTATTGGGTCAGTGTCCCAATCCCTGTGCCTGAGGCAAGTGGTATCATGAGGATCCTGGTTGACTCCTGTGCCTTCTCAGTTCTATTTGTCACATCTCTACTGCTGGGACAAAATACCTGACACCACAAATTAGAGAAGAGGTTTATTTTGGCTCCTTGGAGTAGGTTGGACCTACTCCAAGGCAGAAACCTAGTGGTAGAAGGGCATGGCAAAGCCAAGCTGCTCACTTCATGATGACCAGGAAGCTGAGCACCAGAGAGGAAGGGGTCAGGTCCCATATTTAGTTCCCAGGGTCATGCCTTCATGGCCAGAACAAACATACCCAGAAGTATACTTTGTTACCCCTCTAAGGGAATCTCAGGCCAGTCAGAATTGACTGTCACACCAGGGCTGGGAGAAAGGCATCACTGTATCATCCCCCTATGGCCATGTGGAAGAGGGAGAAAAGCAAAAAGCAGAGCACTGTAACAAGAGTGAGAAAGAAGCAATACTGTACAAGCAGGAATAGCAGATGGAACTCACCCTGGAGACTCTTTTTGTTATTAAATTTGATCTTCCCTGGAAAGTAAGACCATATCAAGTGAGACCATGTGGGCCAAAAGGTCTTCTATCTTACTGAGATGGGCCATGGGGGATGAGGGGAGTTAGAGAGCCATTGATCTAAAAGGGCTTCTAAAACTTTGATGTATGTGTGGTCCACCTCACCTGGTTGAGCTGATGTCACCTCTTGTTATTAGACAGCCCAAGGGTAGCTGATTGTCTGGACCTGGGGTCCACCACTCATTGACGTACATCACAGTCACCTTAAAACACAGTCTTGGACTCAGGAAGTCTGAGATGGCCCTGAGAGTCCTACATATGACCTTTCTTGTGTGGCCTTAGTGTCCTACAGTGTGACAGCCAGAGCAGAAGAGGAAACTTCTCATGAACAGGTATTCTGAGAGAACAAGATGGAGGCCTTGGGCTTCTTGTTACCTAGCTTAGAAAGTCAGAGTCATTTCAGTTGTGTTGTTTTGGTAACCCAGAGCCCGGTGAGCTTCACCATGTACCACAGCTGTACAAGTGCAGGTGTGCTGGGCAGCATGGCTTCTTCAAAGTGGTGTCCTTTGCAAAACAGATACTGTAACATTTCTATGAGAGTGTTGGAAATGCTATATTTGGCTCAGCTCATGTTTTGTTTTGTTTCTACTCCTGTGGTTTTCTCCTGTAAAGAGTGTTGGGTGTCTGTCCACCATGGAAGTCCCTTTCAAAGGCATAAAATTGCTCCACAAAGGTATGACACTTCTCCCAAGTGAGATCAAGTATGAACTCATCCATATCTAAGCATTGCTTGATCCTGTATCTTCAGCCTGCCTTTCTTTTAAGGAATGGGTTTCCAGGTCATTTTAAACTATGTAGCTTTAGCTTTGTTATCAGACTACATTTTTTCCTTTCAACTCTTCTACCTATTAAATGTGAATGTGTTAATAGGTAAAAAGACAAGAGCACTTCTGACTTTAGGACAGTCTGAAAAACAGGCAGTGTATGTCTTATACAATGAGATAAAGGCTAGGCTTGGCAGGTGTTGTGGTGGATACAGGTGTCAGCTTGAGAAGTTTAGAAGTTTAACTGCCACTCAGCAGGGAACCAGGATTCTTTCTTTTTTTTTTTTTTTTTTTTTTTGTCTTTTTCATTTTTATCGGTACCGGGGATCGAACTCACGACCGCCTGCTTGCAAGGCAGGTGCTTATGCCGCTGAACTAAATCCCCAGCTCCAGGATTTTTTCTTTGCAAACATTCTCATCCTGTGCAAGAAGAAGGAGGACAAGGAGATTTTGTGAGTGATATACCAGTCCTATAAACAGGGTGGAGTGGCCTGTGTACAATATAAAGGAGAAAAAGAGGTTTGATCTGCTACATTTTGCTTTGGCTACTTTTGCTGGCTGCTGCCTTGAAGTGTTGCCCTGTTGCTGTGGCACACTGCCTTGGAGCCAGCTGATTATGGGCTGAAACCTCCACAAACAGTGAGCTAAATAAACCTTTCCTTCCTTCATTTTGGGTGTCGGGCATTTTGTCCCAGCAACAAGAAAAAAGTAACTGAGACAGCAAGCTTATTTGCTTCTGGTTACTTTGATTCTGATAAAATAGGGAAAAGGGAACATGGAAGAATATAGACAATTTATAAACTCAAAGAAAATGTTGAATGACTAGATTTTGGAAAGTACAAGAACCATCAGTTCCAGGAGTAGGAAATAACATAAGTTCCTTTGGACCTCACTGCCGAATGAAGCACCCACAAGCCAGGGCCACTCTGTTTCCGATTCCTAAGGGAAAGACAGTATGACTGTTCTATAGTTTCCTACCCCTTGGCCAGAGGAATCTGAAGGCCTTGATGGGCCCATCACACCAAGGACGGGGCTCCAGGGAGTCAGTGCTGCTGCTCACCCATCTATATCTCACATCACCACTCTGTTCTGCATACCTGTTCTCTTTGACTCTCCTTGGTCCTGTTTCCAGGGTGGGGGTGGTTCATAAAATAACATGTACAAAAACTCAATGTCTGGCCCAGAACAAGTGCCCAAGAAAGAGCAGCTATTTTTGTTAATAGTATCAAGATGATTTAACATGTGTTCTGTTCACCAATATAATACCTATTACTTTGATGCTTCCTTTATATGTCTAAGATAAAGTTGATTTTTTTTTGACGGGCAGTACTGAGAATTGAACCCAGGGCCTTTATACTAAGCTATAACCCCTATTCTTTTTATTTTGAGACAGGATCTTCCTAAGTTACACAGATTGTACTTGAACTTGTGATCTTCCTGCCTCAGTCTCCCAGACTGCTATGCCGCCATGCCCTGTTTAAAGTTTGTTTTTCAACTTGAAGATTTTCAAGAACAACCACTGAGATTTTAAAAATGAAATAAGTTGAGTAAAATTTTTACTGTAGGTTTCTGCAGTGGTGCATGCCTATAATCTCAGATACTTAGAAGGTAGGCTCAAGAAGTTTGCGAGTTCCAGGCCAGCCTGAGTAATGTAGCAAGATGCTGTCTCCAAATATAAATAAATACATAAACAACTAGTCTTTGAAAAATCCCAGGCACAGTGAGCCAGCCATGGTGGCACGTGGCTGTAATCCCAGCACTCAGGAGACTGATACAGGAGAGTGCAATGAAGTTTGAGGCCAACCTAGGCTGCATAGTGAATTCAAGGCTGACCTGAATTACAGGGCATGACTGTCTCAAAAGCCCAAAACAACAAACAAAAAACAAAGAAAGGGCTGCTGATGTAGATCAGTGCTCCCTGGATTTAGTCCTCAATATTGGATGATGCAGGAAGAAGCAAAAATCAAAAAACATATTGTATGTGTTCACAGTTTGGGGTCAAGTGAGAAGTCTACACTTTGAAGTTTGGTTTCACAAATCAAAGTGTCAGGGTTTTTTTTTTTTTTGAATACTTGCTCTGTTCAGCAGCCTGAGTTCAAAGCGCTAGTGGGAAATGGGAAACACTAGCCTTTAATTGTAAATGAAAGCTCTGACAATGAGGACCTAGAGGCAAGTAAACAAACAACTGATTTCAGTAGTTCCCTTTTTTTTTTTTTTTTTGTCTTTTTCCTTTTTATAGGTACCGGGGATTGAACTCATGACTGCCTGCTTTCAAGGCAGGCGCTTATGCAGCTGAGCTAAACCCCCAGTCCCAGTCGTTTCCTTTTAAAATCCAGTGCTCCCCCGTGTAGTCCATAGACAGATTTGAAAAAACACATCTTGGGGAAAGGAGGCTGAGGCCCTGAGTAGGGAAATGCCCATAGTACCAAGCTTTGTCACCAAGCTCTGCCTTATGAAGCTGTCTCTTTGGCACATATATCCTACCCCATGGGCCAGCACAAACAGAGTGGTTTTACCTAGAGAATTTTACTTGTGTTTTATTTCAGGACATAAAACCTTATCTAAGATGCTTTAAAACAGCTTATATTATCACTCTCCCTCCCTCTGCGTAAACTGCACATTCTTTCCATTGTTAACGCTGTGCTGTTCATGGCTGAGGCAGCAGCTCCTCAAGTCTGTGCTGGAATTATAGGCCATTTTGTTTGTGTGATAGCTTGGGAAGCTTGGCACCATTGATTTGCATCAGTGCCTCTGGAATAGCCTTTGCCTTCTCCTTAAAGATACTATCTAAATTGTGAAATTCATTAAATGGCCCCAGAAATGGATCAGGTTATTTAACACAACATCCCTAATGGTGCAATATCTCAGCTGTCTGCACTGATAGTGAACATTGTCTTGGATAGTGTTATCAGCCCAGGACACCCGCTATGAATATTGATCCCGAGCTTGTTACAGCGATCACTTGCCATCAGGACAGGTCAGGGTTGGAACCGCCTAGCATCAAAGCAATTTAAAGACAGCAAGCACTCAGGCAGAATTTTAATGCCCATGCTGAAAGAAAAAAAAATCAACATGAGACACAGAGGGAAGGTGGTTTCCTAGGTGTGGATATATGTATCATATAGGAATATTCTGGGTGTAAATAGATGTGAAAAGATGTTAGGGAGTCAAATGTATCTCCAGATTGTTCTGAAAGGTTGGCCTCACTGCCATTGGGAAGCAGGTGGCCAAAAGGATTCCTTCAGGCTCTAGGTCTCCTCTGCCTCCTAATCTGAAAAATGCATCCTGTTCTTCAGATGCGAGTTTGTAAACTGGGTGACTAGAAAGAGCATTTTTGGTTCTCTAACATTTACAAGCAACATGGTTTTTTGTATGTGTCACCTATTGTCAGAAACACAGCCTTTCACTATCCTGAAAACACTCATGAGAAATGCTGGAAAAATGAGGGCAAAAAAAAATTAAGTCATTAGAAGAAATTCGTAAAGATCCACAGGCTTAAAGAATATAGCCACTGTGTGTTCTTGACTTGAAGTCCAATTTGTTGCTTTTCCTTTTTTGGCTTGTTTACTATATTTAACATCTCTGAACCTCAAAGGAAAGGTGATTCATACCAAAGGAAAACATCAAATAATTTAAACACAGACTTGTGGCAGTTTTAAAGTATGATTTTAAAAAAATCTCAATTTGGGCTGTTCTTCATTGTCTGAAGGGATTTTCCTGTCTTTCTGGTTTGGGGGTATTGGTACCCACTGGAAAACCAGCCTCACCAATCCTGTGAAATGGTCTCAATGTTTCTTACAGATGAGAGACCCTAGGATAGTATTTCCATTCTTGAGTGACCTTACAGAATTCTATTTCTGCCTGTTATCAAGAGTATAAGTCCAAAAAAACCAAAAACCCAAAACCCAAAACCAAACAAACAAACACAGGAGGGAAAAGGTAAAGGCTAGGGTCAATAGGGGAATGGGAGGGAAAATAAAAAAGAAAGATTTGCCAAAAAATCAAGTGAGAACTATGTGAGAAAGAGGTGTCCAAATAGAACACAATCTTCTCCTATCTGTATTCGGACAAGTTCTGTGATTTGCAATCCCCATTTCTTGGTGCTGCCCGTTAGTTCTAGGACTGTATTTTCTCTAGGTTTCAGAGGGTGTGCATTCCCTTTAGCTGGAGGTGGCCCGGTGGGCTTGAACAGGGCACTTCCTTTCCTGACCTTTAAAAGCACAATCCATCTTCACTTTAGGTCTAAGCTAGTTTGAATTTCGGCAAGGCTTTAAAGTCTGCAGGGAATTTGGTGGCCACCTCTGGGAGGGGCCAAAAGGTTTGAATAAGAAAAGCTACAAGGAGCTGTCCTCTAAGGCTATTTCTTCAATAACAGATGGGATTAGCAGTTCCCAGCACTTTAATGAGAAGTGTTCTCCTCCTCTTCCTATTTCTTACCTGCTCAGACAATATTAATTGCCAAGTCATTGTTTGGAAACCGCATGGGGTGGAGAAGAAAGGGACAGCAAAGTTAGCAGTGGCACTGGACGGAGAGGCTAGGGGAAGCCTCAGAATTTGCCGCTGAAGTCAATACTTAGTGCTCACAGAGTCCAAGAGACAATAGAAGCAATGTTTGTATGGGTGTGGCTGGTGAAAGCCTCTACAATTGCCAATGCTTGCTGCCATCCAGAGGAATTGGGGAGCAGGTGGGGGCCTTTGCAATTGTCACTCTTCTCTAATCTTATGCTAAAATTAGACAGGCATTTTTTAACCTTCTTCCTGGGGCTGGGAGAGAATGGGGGAATCAGTGAAGCAGCCTATTTCCAGAGACCCAACTGCAGATGCAGATGGTCGCACTTATGACTGGGAAGTCCTGATTGGTGTGATGGTTCTGTTTAGCTTCACAGCAAACTAGGACAGCCACTCTCAGCCATCTCCCCTGGGTGAAGCCCACAGCCAGTCTTTTGGGTGAGGTCACCTCTCCAAAATTCTTCCTAGTCTTTAGCCTTGCTGGGATCCAGGGTAGAAGGGAAAGACTGATACAGTGAAGGATTTTACTCTCTTGTTCCAAGACGGTTGGATGTATTGAAGAGAGAGACAGGGATCAGGGGGGATGGAAGGAAAGAAAGAAAGAAGGAAGGAAGGAAGCAAGAAAGGCAAGCCCAGATTGCCACCAACTATCAGTGAGCCTGTGCAGATCATCTTTGAACCTTGATTTCCACATCTTTAAAACCGCGATTGGGGTTGGACCAAGCCAGGCCCACCTCCCAGTGATGTTGAAACTCAAAAGATGGAGAAAGCCCAAGGGCTTTGTAAACTGTAAACTGTGGGAACACAAGAGCTTTTAAGTCCTAGGTAAGTGGATCTGCGCAATTCCTGTTCTTCACCGGCGAGGCAGGAGATGTGCTGCGCATTTCTTTGAAGCGACTTATCCTAGCTTCCACAAACGCAATCGGAGATAGTGAGTGGGGATCCGCAGAATGGAAGACTTCCATGCACGCTTCCCTAGTTTCCAAGGGTTGGGCGGGGGCTGGAGGAGCCAGCTGCACTGTTCCCGCGGTCCGGGCGCGCGCATTAGAGTGTGGATGTTCCCCTAGCCTAGACCAGCGGCTCCGCGCCGCGCCGTGCCGGATAGTCCTGAAGATGCTGCGAGCGCGCCCTGCACGTGGCGGGGGCCAGGGCCCTGTAAAGTGCCAATCGGAGTGCAGCCCCCCGCGGCACTCTGCACGCCCCGCCTCTCCGACCCCTCCCCACATTCACTTGGCAGCTGGAACCAGTTGGTGGATAGAAACCTGCGGCCGAGGCTCAGCAGAAGAAGAGTCTGAGTGCCGCCATCGCGGACACCTTGCCGCCGGCCTCCGGTGCGCGGGCGGCGGGCATGTTGGCATGGCAGTCCGGCGGGGCCAAGGCGGCTCCCTCCCACCACAAGATATCCTTCTCGGTCCTGGACATTCTGGATCCACAAAAATTCACCCGCGCTACACTCCCGGCCGTGCGCTTTTCTCCCCGGGAAGCCAAGAAAAGTTTGGCGGAGGTCGAAGCAGGGAAGGAAGCCAACCCTGGAGAGCCGGTCCAACAGCAGGAGACCCCTGGTAAGAATGAGAGGCGTCCCCGACCCAGGTGACAAGCTAGGGCCTGGCGAATGGCCCTTAGCGGCATCTTTGCACTGGAGCAGGTGCAAAGGGTAGTCCTCTCCTTGGAGTAGGATTGAGGTAGAAAAAGAGGCTCCCAGCAATCTGGGGCTGGGATTGTCACAGAAGCCTTGTCCCTGCACATACACCAAGCGGGTGACCATCACAGTTCTGACTTGCTGTCTCCTTAGCAGTGGAAACCAACACCCAGATCCCACTTTGCAGACACACGCATTAAGGGCATTTAATGCTCTCACCACGTGCTAGACCCTGGGCTTGGAGATGGGATAAAAGTAATAAAAACTTGAAACCTTGGAAGTAGCATCATTAACATCACTCACTTTATGGATGAATGAGCTAGGCCAAGGTCTATACCCTGAATCTTGGTGAGTGGACAGGTCAGGTGCCTATTTTCAACCACTTGGAGACACCTGCATGACTTTGCTGCCCCTTGGATTTCCCTAGCCAGCCCCAAACCTGGACGGGGGCTAGAGACTGGGCTGGAGTGATGGGACACTATTGGTACTTTCTCCTCAGAACCCGATTTAACTTACTCTTAATACTGGAGAACAACTAAGGAAGGGTCCAGGAAAGTTTGTAGCAGGAAGAAGGTGGAAGCCAGCAGGATTCATGCTGGGCAGAGACTGCCTGGAGGGACACCAAAGGTCAGGACCTTAGGTCCTGGGTAAGAGTGGGTGCTGTACAGCCCTCTACTTCGCCTCAAGGTTGCAGGTGATCATCCGGGCCGGCCTGGGGCCTCTGGAGGCCGAGCTTGGGCCCCTGCTGCAGGCCTGGTAATTGTTCAGATCTGCTCTTAGAGGGGCCTCCCTCCTCTCTCTTCACCCCCTCCCCCATGATCGATATTCTATTACTGGTGCCTGCATATCTCCTGCCCGCAGCTTGCAGGTACCGGCTTCAAACCCCCTTTCCCTGTCTGATCCTAATATTGTTCGATTAAAACTTACCTTTAATAGATGACATCTATCGATCCAGTCCCGCACAAATCTGAAACTCTATTAACAGGGCAGGAGAGAGAAGATGGGAAAGGGGGAAATTTCACTTTACGGAGAGGGGGGTTAATAACTTCTTTTTTAATTCTAGGAGTCCCACACCAAAATACGCTTCTAGCGACTAGGGGGAGGCAGGCCATTAAATGTACTTGACTCCTGGATGTCTTAATGTACAGGGACCCTCCCCCAGAGGTTGCCCAAAAAGATCACTATTCTCTGTTGATAGGAGGTACCATTCCTTCATTCCTCGTACTCTTCTTAAACAGCTACACTCCTGTGAGGCTGTGCGGCCCGGTGGTGGAAGGAACGCGGCGTGGGGGCAGACTGGGAGGGGGCGGCTGGAGTGAGAACTATGTCCTCTGCGGAGAACCAAGGGGAGATTTTGAGATCTGGGTCTTTCCGGGTTTCTGCAGACCCGGGTCCTTCCGGACTTCTGATCACTGGCCCTTTCTCCCCTAGATGCTGCGGGCCCAGACGCCGGTGTGGCGTCCCCCCTGGAGAGTTCCGAGGCCGAAGAGGATGAAGAGGACGCCGAGGAGGCGGGGCAGGCGCGGCAGCGGGAGCGGGCAGCGCACCTGCAGACAGGTCCGGGGCGCTCCCCCGAGGCGCGGGTGGCCCCACTGGGGGCTGCCGAGTGCAGCGCGGACGGCGAGGGCGGCCTCGCGGGCTCCCCCGAATGCCCCGGCTCCCCGCGGCCCAGGCGCCGGCGCGCGGAGCCCAGCAGCTCCAAGCCTCGCCGCGCGCGCACCGCCTTCACCTACGAGCAGCTGGTGGCCTTGGAGAACAAGTTCCGGGCCACCCGCTACCTATCGGTGTGCGAGCGCCTGAACCTAGCGCTGTCGCTCAGCCTCACCGAGACGCAGGTTAAAATCTGGTTTCAGAACCGCAGGACCAAGTGGAAGAAGCAGAACCCGGGAGCCGACGGTGCGGCGCAGCCCGGGACACCCGGCGCGGCGGCGGGCACCTGCGGCGGGGGCACGGGGGGCAGCCCCGGCCCACCGGGCCCGGGAGCACTGCCCTTCCAGACTTTCCCCGCCTACTCCGCGGCCAACGTCCTCTTCCCGGCCGCCGCGTCCTTCTCGCTAACGGCCGCCGCCGCCGCCGGGAGCCCCTTCGCGCCCTTCCTCGGGCCCGCCTACTTGACCCCCTTTTATACCCCGCATCTATGAACCTGGGGTCTTCCAGGACCCTGCCGCCTCGGGACTCACGAGTGATTGGCTTCGCGTGGGCCCCTTCCTTCACAGATGGGCCCGCCTCGCCCCGATAGCCCCCGCCTGGCGCTCGGATGCCTGCCTGCACCCTCCCTTCCAGGCTCCGGGAGGCGCCACCAGGGGGCGGGCAGAGGCCGCCTGCCCACTCGGGCCGCGCCTCTCCTGCCACGCAGACCTACTGAGTCCACACCGCAAAGGGAACTCGGCGGTGTCCGGGGGCGGAGGCAGTTCTGAAATCTTCCTGTTTGTAGACCTGGCTTTTCACTTTACTTCAGGTTCAGTTCAGCTCAAGGGCTTCTTTTGCGGGGGGGAGGGGGGGGTCAGGCTATTTGAGACCCAGCTAACCAGTGTCAGGATAGAGACTCAGAGAGCCCAGGCGCCCGGTGCAGACCTTGCTCACTCTTAGAATGGATTCTTCGAGGATTCCAATCTACTACTCAGAAGTGAGAAACTTCCCTTCCCTTTGGTACTTGATTACTGGCTCAAACTCAGCAGATCCCTCCAAATCTTCAAGAAAGCTGAAGAGAGTTGGGCCCACAGTGCGTGCCATCGCTGTAAAACACTATTTTTAAAATACATGAAATTCAACACCTAGATCCGGTGCCCTATTGTGGTTTACAGAGTGCAGGGTTATCTTGATAGAGAGAGATGCCTTATTTTTCCGAGCAGGCCGTAGATTTGTGTCACAAAGGGTCTCACTTGGCATTGTGGCTGCTAAAAAGAGCACAGCTATGTTGGGCTGTAGGTTTTGAGACCAATTTGTACAAACCCCAGCGGTAGCTCCAAAATGCATAAAAATGATAATGAAGGAAGTCATGGCCCAGCGAATGCCATGAAGTCTATGCAGGAGGCTACTTGTTTTGATGTGCAGGACTGGATGCCAACTTCAGTCCTGGTTAATCTGTCTGCCCCAGCATGTTCTGGGTTCTTGGGAAAAACCGTGACACACTGCCTGCAGTGAGGCACTGATTTTTTTTTTTTTTTTTTTTTTTTAAAGCGCAAACTTGACATGTTTGGGTCTTCATCTGAGATTCTGAGTTGAAAGCAATTCTTGTTCCAAACAGATTCTCCCTGATGGTGAACAAGCAAAACCTTATAAAGGGCTAAGGAAAGAAATAACTGAGTGTAAAGAGCTACTGTAGAGGCCAAAACTTTGTTCATATAGACTCAACCGAGGGACTTAATATAGGCATTTACTTGCTGCTTTTACTGTCTCCCCTAAAAATTAGTTCTATAAAATTCTTAACCGTTTTCTGCAGAATATCCTTCCATTAGTTTTCTGTGTCATATGGTCAGACATGTAGATGACTCCAACTCAATGTCATGTATATTTCATTCTTATTTTTATCTGATAATTTCAGGCCAGCTAATATCTATATTCCTTACTGTTCTTGGTAGCCCAGATCATAATCATTAAACTTAATGAGGGGTTGCATATTCAAAGTAAAAGCAAACTTTGAACACATTATATTATTATAATCTTGAAATCTATCAGGAATGATAGAAAATATATCTTTTCTCCCAGCTTAAAAACTTTATATTCATGTGATTCTTAGGCTTGAGAATATGTATTATTTAATTATATGTTATTTGGTAATTAGGCTCTTTTCTGCGCAAAGAATATTCCCAAACAATGCATTATAACTTTCTAAAAGATAGCTGGTGCCAGATGAGATTAAAGATGCAATTATTATAATAGAGAATATAATTTTATTCACTTTACACTTTAACTCTAATAACTATTTGTTGATCTTTCAAAAACAACATTCCATGTATGAAGGGGAAATTTAAGTGCACAAAGGCCAGATCTGTGAAGAAAGAGTTAAAGTTCTGTAGCGAGTTGGAGATGTTTCTTTCCATCCTCTCAGGTATCAGACTTGTAGACCTGGGTTGAAAAGAGAGAAGCAGGCACTTGTCTGTGTGGACTGTTCTGGTGCTGTGATTCCTGGTCCTTCTTCCTTCCACAAATTGTCCCAGAGAGATGCTTGAAGTGTGTGACTTGAATTTTTGCTGCTTAAAAAAGGCTTTCTAACCAAAACCATAGACTCATTCTATTGATGTGTTGGCCTAATAAATTTCTTTTGTAATGATTTCTTGTTTAATCATTCCTTGTTTTCTATTAGCAAATCTTAATTTTAAATTATCAGGTATGAATTTATGTATCTCCCTTTCTCTACCACCTGATAGCATTTCTACCCTAATACTACTTTATTATCTATGACTCATGCTAGATAAATGGAGTGGCTATATTTGAGGGAAGCTTATACAGATACATACATATATATATATATATATATATATATATATACATATATATATATGCACTATCATTCTTCATAGGAAAAATTCATAGAATAATTAGTGGTTACTAAATAAATCAATACCTATCTGATTTCTAAACTGTTAATGGCCTAGTTTTATTTTACAAATTCTTATTGCCCCAACAAAGATGGATTGATAACTTTTCAGAATTAATCCATCTACTGGTCAGATCGTCTAAGTATAGAAGTAACAATTGTTTGGGGTGGGAGTAATGCTGGGGATTGAATCTAAGGCCTTTGTATTGTACAATAATACGCAGTCCTTTTTTATCTTGAGAAGGGATCTTGTTAAGTTACTATACTGCCCAGCATGTCCCTGAATTTGTGATCCTCCTGTTTCTGTCTTTCAGAGTGCTGGGATTATAGGTTGTTACAGTTCCTGTCTAGATGTCCCCTCAAAGCCTCATACAGACATAGGTGGGACTTTTTCAGAGGTAGCTGGATCTACAGTGTGTGATGCTGAGATTAAGGGTGTGTGATTACTATACTAGTCCACTGATTGGTTTGGTAGCACCCTAATCCTGGTAGCCTAGATACAATATAAAAGGGGAAGGAAGATGCTGTTAAGGTCTCTTGCTTACTTTGCTACCTTTTACTCACTATGGACTGTTCTCTGTGATGCCTGTCTGCAATGTCACGCTGCCTCAGAGCCGGCCAATTATGGACTGAAACCTCTACATATTATGAGCTAAATAAACCATCCCCCATAAGTTTGTGTGTCAGGCATTTTGTCTCAGCTATGAGAGAAAAGTAGCTGAGACAAAATTTGATACCAGAGAAGTGGGGTTGTTGTTATGACTATCTTATCATGTGATTTAGGAGCCTTTGGAGCTGGCTTGTGGGAAAGAGAAGAGTTAGGAAAAGTTTAGGGAGGCTGGTTAAAAAAGTACAGCTAGAATGATTTAGGCTGCACTTGATAGGAGATTCTGGTCAGAGCTCAGAAGACCAGAATATTGACAGAAATGACACTGATAAGAATCAGGCTCAGCAGGTTTCTTCTGGGCTTAAGGACTGCCTTGGCTGTTGGACTCCAGGTCTTGTGTGTTGCATTTGGCTCATGTCTAGAGACTAAGTTTATTTGCTTTGTCTGAGATTAAGGATAAAGATATCAAACTAATTAATCTAGCAGAAGAAATTTCAAGGCAATCTAATGTTGAGATGGTGGCCTGGCTATGGTTGGAGACTTTTATCCAGATTTATGTTGCGAATCAAGAGCAAAGAGCCCAGCAGGATGATTAAAAATGTTTTGAGTTTGACCAGAAAGCTCCAGTAAATTTGTGACATGAAAAGATGGAATAGAGGAGAAATTTGTCACTGAAAAGACTAGCAAACAAAAAACAAGTATTTCAGAAGAAGACAACAGAGAAGATGGCCTTGAGGACATAACAAGAACAAACAGGACTCTAGCCTTTGCCTCAAAATTGCAAATACAAGTAGTAGACTTTGTTTTGAGAAGAAGGCCAGAGGGCACCATTTCCCAGAATAGTGACAGCTTAGGGAAATTGTTCTTCAGGATTTGGTTCATAAGCATTCAACCCTTACAGCCAAGAGAGAAGGAAGCTTGACTATTGCTCCAGCTGGTGGAAGACCTTGGCATCATCCACATGGTGCTAGTTTTAGATGCATGAACAATGCAAGAACTGTGGGATCAGGAAAGCTTCCACCCAGATTTCAGAAAAAGGCCCCTGAGGGGAGGGCAGACAGTGGCCCCTAAGAAGGCAGTGTGTAAAACTCCAAGTGTGAAGATGACTCTGGAACTTTACAGAATCCTGGAATGTGGATCGTCTGAGGTAAGTTGTCAGTAGGGAGCAGAGCCAGCCCAAGGGAGAATCCATGAGCGCTACAACCACTAGCAGTGTCATGGGGCAGAAGTGCTCAAACCCTTTAAAATTTACAGATTGCCTCAGATGCTGCACATGGAACTACAGGATTTAATATTTTGGACTTACTTTGGTCCCATTCCTTCATATCCTATTTGTACCTTTTGGAATGATAATATTTATCTTGTGCCATTCAATGTTGGAAGTGTTCAATTTTCATTTGTACAGGGGCTCACAGTTAAGAGTTTGCCTTAAATCTCAGAGGAGACTTTGGACTTGGCCTTTTCAGCAATGCTGTAACTATTAGAACTTTGGCAATCCTTGGAGATGAACTATATGCCTTTTGCTTAAAGGGGGTGTTCTGGCTCATGTCTAGCTGGCCCCCAAAGCTTCATATGGCCATAGGTGGGGCTTTTTCAGAGGTGGTTTGATCGAGGGTATATGATGCTAAGATTAATGGTGTGTGATTATTAAATCAGTCCACTGACTGGCTTGACATAACCCTAATCCTTGTAGCCTAGATACAAAATGAAAGGGGCAGAAAGATACTATTATGGTCCCTTGCTTGTTTTGCTACCTTTAACCCACCACGAACTACTTCTCTGATGCCTGTCTGCCATGCCACCCTGTCTTGGAGCCAGCCAATTATGGACTGAAACCTCTATAAACTGTGAGCTAAATAAACCTTTCCTCCTTTAATTTCAGTGTTGGGCATTTTGTATCAGCCATGAGAGAAAAGTAACTTAGATATATGTATTGGTCAGCAAGTCCAGTTAGAAGTAACAATTTTTTTTTTTTGTTGTCTTTTTCCTTTTTA